CAAAATAAAATTTACCCATAATAGAATTCCCTACTTGCTTATCCTTTCAGACCTTCTGGTTTCGCTGTGTGGAGCCGTTGAAGACAGATGTTGATAAAAGTTTGAAGTAGGCTGTTGTAAATGCTTTTCGTGTCGAGCGAATCAAGTATGTGAGTCATATACAAAGATGGACTTAAGATCGGTGATGAAAATCCAAATCTTGTGTTTCATGCTGGTATGTAGTAGATTTTGAAAATAATTTCAGAGTGATGAAGGTCTGTGTTGGCTTTCCAATTCTAGTCTTGACATCGTTATCCAAATTCGTGTCTGCAGTTGAAATGATGCTGAATAGAAAAGTGAAGGAAGTGGCCTCTTTCAAATTTCTACCACTGATGGTGGGTGGTAGGTGTAGGTTGTCTTTGCTGTTGGTTGGTTGATTGTCTATCTTCATCACCTATCCTCCATCGTCTTCTCTATCCTCACTCCCAGATGAGTCTTATATTCGCTGTCAGCCAACGACTTCAGCCAGTTTGTTGGTTTTCGCCTGCCTACAAGTCTTCCATTTTGTGTGATATAAAAACATAAATCATCTGCACACGAAATCCAGATCTTCTAGACGTTTCTCATCGATCAGTCCAACATATTCCTATCTTCTCACTCCCAACGCACAGTCTGACACATAATCCACTCACTACACCACAATTAGGAATATCAGCGTGGTTGATCATAGGCAGGCAGCCAGCTAGTCTACCCATCCTCCTGTATTTACTTCGAACGCCTCGCTGAGTGAGTTTTCTGTTGTGGATGACCTGACATGTGGCAGGCATTGTCATATAGCCAACCGTTGAATGAGGCTGATAAAGATTTGGACACTGCACGTCATAGTATTGAAGTAGTTTCCAAATTACTTCATTGTCAACGCTGTCTGTAGAAGACATTTTCAAATTCGATGAAATTGATAAGCGTCCGTGGTACAGGAGTAGAATGCTCGCCAACCACGCATGTAGTTCAGGGTTCAACTCCCGGCCGACGACGCACTCCTTTACCTAGCTAAGCCAGTAGTAAGACTGGTAAAGAGGGAAGGTTGAGCATGAGGCTAGCAACCTCACCTTGTAAAAATAATCACCACTGCTACAGAAACTTCAAACCTCTAGCTTGAAGGCGGTCTATGTTCCACTTGGGAACGTAAAGGCATAAAACAAAGAAGGTGAAGTAGAGATCTGATGGATCTTTTCGAATAGATCAAGCAAATTTCGATACAGTGCAAAAGAAGTTTCATGCATTTTTCCCTCTCTTAATGAATTTGAGTAAAACAAGAACAATAGCTTTAATTGAATTTTAGATTTTTCCCGTCGATTGATTGGACCGAAGTGCTCGGTCTCAGGTTGACATGTCGGCTTCTTGAGCAGATGCTTCGACGATGTCTGGGCATTTAATTAGTATTTAATTGGTGGCCCAAGTGGTCTAGTGGATAACGCTTTGGCGTTGGAAACTATGGGCACTGGGTTCGAGCCTTGGTGGGAACATCATCACTCAATGAGAAATGCAGGTACATCCAGATGACGAGTCCCAAATGGGACGAAATGCGCATCCTGGATTCCACTGCTAGTCACCATCCACCAATTAAAGAACAATAGCTGTTTGTGCACAATAAAGCGGTAGCATCGTCACATATTTCATTGACTTCTTATCAGCTGCTTACAAGTCAAAGACATAGTTGAATATGTATCTACAGAAATAGTTTTAACATACTTGTACAGACAATTCAGTTTTACACAAAAATCAATATATGCATACAATAGTAATAATAATCACTTTATCCCAAACAATAGTATTCATACAGAATGCATTGAAAGAAAGGATGAAAACCTCCAGTTACCAGACAGGGCAAGGAAAGATGACTACTGTTAATCACTTCTTTCTGAACACATAATTTGGGCTTCAAGCTTTTTATGGCAACTGCTGTAAACTTGAGGAGAAGTGAACTCTCTTAACTATTGGAAATTCTGAGCGATCCTGAGACGTCCACCTGATAGCCGGTGTCAATGAGATACCTGATAGGGGCATTGTTTAAAGTATTTGTTCCCTTGAGACGCAGGCTTTTTGGTACATGTTAAGATATACTTAACAATATCTTTGGGTTGCGAGCAGCTGATGAGCAGCGAATGAAATAAGCAATGATGCTACCACTTTATTATTCTGCACAGACCACTTTTGTTCTTGCAAAAGAAATTGACAATCTAATAGTCAGTGATATAAGAATAAAACTTGTGCACTTTGGTAGAGTGTAATTCCATTATGGAAAGAAAAATAAACTAAATGACATTCAACTAGAGAATGATGAAACAATGGTTAGTTTTGATATGAGTAGTCTTTATACTAATATACCAATCAATATGGCCTTAAAAGCAGTTAATAAAGGCCTAACTGCAGATCCTGAACTCACTTATAGGACGAAACTACCCATTGATGAAATTATTTTAGGAAATTCAGTTATGCCTCACATCTACTATCTTGAAATTCCAGGGCAAAATTTATAGACAAACTGAAGGTGTAACAATGGGATCACCAATATCCCCTATCTTAGCAGATATATTTATGGACAGCTGGGAAAATAGTGCTCTAAATACAATTAATCCTACTCCAAAAATATGGTGGAGATATATGTGGATGACACTTCCACATACACAGTGTTATAAATAGAACATATCTCTAGCTTCTTGACATATATAAACTCACTAGTAGAGGGAATAAAATTCACATTTGAATCAGAAAATGAACAAGCAGAATTACCTATGTTACACTGTAAAATAAAACGCATAGAAGAAGGTAAACGGAACATTAGTGTTTATAGAAAACCAACGCATTTTAATAGGTATTTAGACTTTAATTCATCTCATCCTTTAACTGTTAAGGCAGGCTTAATTAAGTGCTTAACAAACCGAGCAATGGCACTAAGTAGCACAAAAAGACCCAAATGATGAAATAAAACAGATAGAAGAGGTGTTTAATAACTATCCTTTTAAATTTATTAGGAAGATTTAAAAAGGCCAAAAGAAAAATAAAAAGAATTGTGCAAATAGTAATAATAACATAAATAAGAGAGAATACAAGTCATCCACTGTTATACCATATAAGGAAGGGACATCTGAGACCCTACGTAGGATTCTTAATAAAGCACGAGTTAGGGTGGCATTTAAACCTGCAAACTCACTCAGGGACAAGCTCTGTAGGCTAAAAGACCCGGTGGACCTAATTAAACAAAATAATTTAATTTACAAAATACCCTACAATGACTGTGAGGTCAGCTGCATAGGTCAGTCAAACTAGTAGGTCGGGGGTAGTCAGATTGTCAGAACATAAGAATTTAGCTAAGGTAAGAATGGTTGACCCAGAGAAGATAAGTTATCTAGAAAAAAGCTCGGCAATTGCAATGCATGCATTAACACACAACCACCACACAACAGGGTGGGAGAGGGTTAAAATTCTAAAAAGTAATCTAGGTAGATGGAGAGAGAGGTTGGTTACTGAATCCTTGTTCATCGAATCTACACTCAACACATGCAATAGGAATGAATCATCACTCATACCAGAAATATGGAAAATATTACTACCAATCAAATCAAGTGAAAATCAAGTGAAAAACAATGGAACTATATAAATGAATTTAGGAAGTCGTGTGATTACCTTGATATGATTATGAGCAATAAATTTTGCTTGAAACGTCATCAGTAAACATTACTGTACAACACTGTGAGACCTTATCAAAACAAAATTTACCCATAATGGAATCTAATGGTTTCCATTAACAATAATTAGTCAATATCAACGTGTCAAACGTGGGTGATAATTCCATTATGGATAAGATTTTATTTTGATGAATCACACAGTGTTGTTATACAGTAATATTAACTGATGACGTTTCGAGCACAAATTATTGCTCATAATCATATCAAGTTACTCACACAACTTTTTCCTTCATTTATAATTGATAATTGATCAAGAACATTAGTACAACAATTAAAGGGTACAAATTATTGCAAAAATTAAACAAATCGATCACATAATACACAATTTTTGAATGAAATAAAAGGAGCAATCAAGAAGTAAGTGGGTCCTCTATCTGGTCGCGTAATGAAGTAGTATTAGTCAGAATAATAAAATAATTAGGACAATAATAACACCTGTGGATGGGTTAGTGAGAGGGGGAAATTCTCGGGTCTTTTTCAGTTGATTTAATGATGGTCAGCGTAAGGAAATTAGCTGCATGAATTTTTTCTGAACACACAGGTCTGGTTTCTTCAGTCGCATTCCAATAACTTCAGCTATATGTAGGAGATACACCTTCACCACTCTGAAATCGGTTTGAAAATCTGCACTCAGTCGGAGTGAAGAACACCATTCGGGTTTTGAACACACCAATACGAAGCGAGTCTGATCTTCTATATGAGTCAGAAACTTGGCTAGCACATCATGAAATGCCTTTCCAATAAGCCGTTACAGACTCACATCAACAGCTGCCACCTTCGCTAGCTCCATACTGAAGATCACATGTCCAGCTGGCCAGAAAGAATTACCAACAAGAAACTATGCGAGCGAACCAACTAAAAGCTGATCGCTCAACAAATCTGTAGGAGAAAATAGAAATGGATTGGTCACACACCACGCAGAGGACCATCGAATGAATATCTCTTGAGTGTGATCCGAATGAGAAGTGACAAATGGGTCGTCGGTGCGAGACTGACATTGAGGAGGTCGTATGAGTTGAAAGAAGAAGGTGAGAGATTATCAGCAATCGTGGTGCAGCTATCCAGATGAAGAGGATATCAGAAAGTAGAAAAAAGTGGAGATGTGTTGTTGAAGTCCTATGTTCCACTCGGAACCCAAGAGAATTTATCGTAGTCGATAATACTACTCTTCGTTTTCTTATTACTAATGACAGCCTTTAAGTTCTCTGTCTTATGTGAGTGTTGGAGTTTGTGTGGAATTTTAAATTTAGCATTATTTCCTATTCAATATCATTAGATATTAGGAAAAGAAACTGAATAAAAAAAAAACAAGAAACACTTAATTTACTAGTTCTCTTGATAAAAATTGAAATATGACTTCATTTTTCTCATGCTCATTCTTGTGTTTTTTTAATCGTCTAGCACATGCAACGAACAAATATGGGTTATTTTTTCTATTCTATTTTATTCTAATGTTGAATTTAGGTGTTTAGAAACTGTGAACAATAATTACTGGGTTTCTTTTTTCTTACAAAAATTGTCAAGAAATCAATTTCGCGCGTATTTAGCCAAATTCACTCACTGATAAGCTTAAACAACTTGTGTAATTCTGACCTTGAGCCGACCAATCAGATGACGCCACAAGAATATTGCTAAATAACCTTGTCATCAGACAATAGATATAAATATTAAAAAAGTATGATTATTATTCGTAACTGAAAAGGTGATCACATCAAATACCTGCTGATAATTTGGTCTAATTCAAACAAATAGAATGAGTATGATGTTTACACCGAAAATAATAATAATATTTTGGTTAGATAAGTGAAGTCAAAAACCTTATTTAACTAAGTGTTTATGATATTCAAGTATTGGTTTGCAGGGATTTGATTGATTGGTTACAGGATTTCATCATGAGCTGAAATTGGTTAGAGAACCATTGGAAATCCAGCTTAGAGTACTGGATACCTGTCTCGCCCTAGTTTTGGACTCTTCATCGGTACGCACCCAACGTGGCTCGAACCCAGGACCTTCTGGTTACAAGGTGAGCTATCTCGTAGACCATTAAGCCACTGGCACCCGATCCAATGGCCATCCCATGAATTCTGTCTTCTGTGAATTCACGACATAGCACAACCGATAGCCAATGTCTTCGGCGAGTATTTGTCCTCACACTCGACTGGTCACGAATTCCCACTAGAACCTCAGGTGACTACCTACCTGAATAGGGCCAGTCGCCAGTGAGCATAAGTTACAATTCATGGGATGGCCATTGGATTGGGTGCCAGTGCATTAATGGTATACGAGCTAGCTCGCCTTGTAACCAGAAGGTCCTGGGTTGGAATCCCAGTGGGTGCGTACTGATGAAGAGTCCAAAACTAGGACGAAACAGCTATTGTTTATCGCCTAAACTGTTGGAATTGGCTACCAAAAACAAAATGAAATTATTTATGTGTAATGTCAGTGTCTTGTCAGTGGTTAGACCATATTGGAAAAAACAGCTGCATTCGCTGGATCCATATATTGAAGATCAAATAGCCAACCGGCCAGAAGCAATTAACAACAAGAAACTCTGTTAGTCAACCAATCAATCAATAATAATCAACTGCTCAATAAATACCTAGAAGGAAATACAGACAGACAGGATACACAATGATGAGAAGACCGTCGGGTGACATTGC